TTATTCACTTTCTACCTGAAGTTTAGAATCAGGTGTGTTGCCCTCCATGTGCCCGGTCCCCCCTAAGCCCCACCCCCGACGCTCCCCACATAATGTTATTGGTATTTTTATTTGGATCATATTACATTTATAGATGACGTTTGGGAGAGTCGAAGTGTTTATGATCGAGTATTCCTATCTAAGAACATGGTATACTTTTCCATGTCTCCATCTGCATCCCTCAGAATGTTTTAAACTTTTCTTTACAGAGCAAACACATTTATTAAGCTTACTCCTGGATATTTGATCTTTGTGTTGTTGCTCTTATAAGTGGACTCTTTTATTATAGTTTCTATGTAGCTGCTGTTTGTACATACAAAAGCTACTGCTTTCTGCATACTAATTTTGTTATTCCCCATCTTACTTCCCCTATTGTTTAAAGCAGTTTTCAGTTTATTCTTCTTTACTTTTCTAAGTATAGAACATATCTGCAAAAAGTGATCGTTTTGCCTCTTCCATTCCAATTTCTGTATCTCTATGTTCTTTCCCTTGTCTAACAGTGTTCAGTAGACCCTATGGGAAAATGGTGATAATGGCCATCCTTGTATTTTTTTTTTTTTAAAGACTGGCACCTGAGCTAACAACTGTTGCCAATCTTCGTTTTTTTTTTTCCTGCTTTATGTTCCCAAACCGCCCCCCATACATAGTTGTATATCTTAGCTGCAGGTCCTTCTAGCTGTGGGATGCGGGACGCAGTCTCAACGTAGCCTGATGAACGGTGCCATGTCTGCGCCCAGGATCCAAACCCTGGGCTGCCGCAGCGGAGTGTGCGAACTTAACCACTTGGCCACGGAGCCGGCCCCATCCTTGTATTTTTCATGACATTAGTGGAAATGTTTCTAGTGAATTTCATTAAGCATGATATTAGCTTTCAAACTAGGAAATATTTTGTCATGCTAAAGAAGTATCCATATATTCCATTTTTTTTGTTTTATTTTTTAGTATAAAAAATGGATGTTGGGGTCGGCCCAGTGGCATGGTGATTAAGTTAGTGCACTCTGCTTTGGCAGCCTGAGGTTCACAGGTTTAGATCCGGGGCATGGACCTATACACTGCTCATCAAGCCACGCTGTGGTGGCATCTGACATACAAAATAGAGGAAGATTGGCACAGATGTTAGCTCAGTGACAATCTTCCTCAAGGAAAAATAGGAAGATTGGCAACAGATGTTAGCTCAGGGCCAATCTTCCCCACAAAAAAAACGAAAAATGGATGTTGAATTTGTAAAATGCCCTTTAAGCATCCATGGTGATGAGCTCATGGTTTTCCCTTTTGGGTCTCTTTATATGATGCAGTGTATTCAGAGCCATCCTCCACTCGAACTATCCTTGCATTCTGGAATAAACACCACTTGATTGCGATGTTTTGCCCATTGAGTGTGCCGTTGTTTTTAGCGTCCAATATTTCAGTCTGCATTTTTGCATTAATGCTCAGGAGGAAGACTGATCCGTGGTTCCATTTGTACTCAATCTTTTTTTGGGGTTTGGTAACAATGTGATCATGCCCACATCATAAAAAGTATTTGTATTGCTTTTTTTTTTTTTTTTACAAATATAGATTTGACTATTTACATACATGTTATAATGATTATGCTTGGTCCAGCTCTTCATCTGTTTCCCCCTCTTCCTCCTCTTACGATTAGTAACAACTGCTCAGACTTCTGAAAGATTTCAAAGTGCCAAGCTCTGTTCCAAGTGCATTGCATGTATCACTTCATCGGATTATTACATCAGCTTGGGGAGGTAGGTATTACCAGCATCCCCATTTGCAGAGGAGAAAACTGACCCATGGAGAGGAAGCAGGTCACCTAAGTCTGCAGACCTAGTGTGTGCTGGAACTGCCATTCTCCACCACGGCGCTCTCCTGCCTCTTGCAGCATCTGCCTTTTAAGGTCATGCTGCTTTGTGGCCCCCTTGGTTTTATTTCAATGTATTAACCAGACATCCTCAGTTTTCTCTGTTTTTAGTTTGACTACACATTAACTCTACTTTTCAATGTTCCTCATGGACAATTTAGACATTCCACCCACATTTTTAATCCTAGAATTATTACCTTTCTCAACTAACATGAAATGTGCTTGGCTGCTTGCCATGGGCTTTCAAGACACAACTTGTGCCTGATGGTTTAGCTGGAGGGGCACGACCTAAACATGTGAAAAAGGGAAATAACACCAAGTCAAAAGAACTGTCACTCAAGGCAGGGCTGGATGAAGTGCCAAACAATAGGGTGCAGAGCAGGAGGTGATGGAGTGCAAAGGAGAAGAACAGGAGTCCTCCGGTGGAAGGAGGCTTTGATAGGGACGTGGGGTACAGCACTTCCTGGTGACCCTCAGGCCTCACACAGGGGAGCAGAGGGCTACAAGGAGGCTGACTCTGGGGTCAGTAGTGCTGACGCTGAGAACCCCTGATCTACAGCATGGTTTTTACCACTATGTAGTACTTCATGTCGCTTAACTAATTTCCTACTAATGAACATTATTCCGTTTTCTTCTTTCGCAAAGCTATGAACAGCACAGACAGGAAGAGCTGTTTCAATCATCTGTGGCAGGGGGCTGGAAATCACATCGCATGGGCCAAATCTGGCCTGTGGTCCATGTTTGTAAATAAAGTTTTATTGGAACACAGCCATGGCCTTTTATTTACATATCCTCTGTGTCTGCTTTCACACGGTAACGGCAGAGCTAAGTAGTTGTGGCAGAGCGTATGTTTCACAGCCTCAAATATTTAGTATTTGGCCCTTTACGAAAAAAGTTTGTTATCCCTGATCTATGGCAACTTGTCTTATTTCTTTAGTATAAATTCCTTAAATTGAATTTATGGGTCCAAGGGTATGCACATTAAACATTTTGATATTTACTTGGTCCATGTCTCTCAAAAAATGTCATGCTAATTTATGTCTCCAGCAGCAATGTATGAGAGTGACATTTTTCCACATGTTTACCAACTCTAATTCTTAGCATGATTTAAAATTTTTACCAATTCTATAGGTGAAAAGAGATATTACAACATTATTTTATATTTAAATTTCTTCGCTAGTGAGTTTATAAATTTTTAAAAATAGTATTTTTTGCCTTCTTTTCTACTGGGTGTTCAGATTTTTCTTATTTTTTTTAAGAACTCTTTATATATGAAAGATACATACTATCACATATGTTGCAAATATTTTCATCAGTTTATCATATGACTTTAATTTCATTTATGATATTTTTTGCCTTTTGAGTTTTATGTAGTCAAACATATCAGCCTATTTTCTTTATGGTTTCTGCCTATGGTGATCTGCTTATAAAATTACTCCACATTATTATTAAATATTCAAACAATTTCTTCTGGTAATTTGTGGTTTAATATTTTACGTGTTGATACTTAATGCATCTGAAATTTATTTTGTATAATAAGTGAGATAAGAATCTACTTAACTTTGTCAAATGATGATTCAGTTGTCCCAATATTATTTACTGATTATTTCATCCTTCCTCAATTATTTGAAATGTCATCATTATATTACTGAATTCCAATTTGTACCTGAATCAGTTTCTGAGCACACTATTCTGAAGACAGACTACCTGAGTTTGAATCTCAGCTCCACAACTTATTAAATGTGAATTTGGCCAAATAGCTTGATCTTCATAGGTTGGGAAGATTGACTGAGTTAATTTAAATAAAGTGCTTTGCATAGGACCTGACACAGAATGTTTGCCTAAAAAATGCTGCATGCATGCACACGACACGCTATTCTTGTTATTGCTGTTATTTGTCTATTCTTTTCCCAATACCATGATGTTTTAATGACTTTATCTTCATAATTTGATTTGTACCAAGTATGACAAGTTTGCCATGATTACGGTTCTTTTTCAAAAACTTTTTGGATATTTTCATTCTTCCATATAAACTTGAGAATAATTTTGCCAATAAAAATTGTTTTGATTTTATTGGAATTGTATTGACTGCATAGAATAATGGAAAAATAATGTGTATTTGTACTTTATTGAATCTTTCTATCCAGGGAAACAATCCATCTGTCTATTTGTTCAAGTCTTCTTTCATTTTCTTTCAGTAAAGTTTTGTCAATATAATTCTGTACAATTCTGTGTAATATGTCAATATAATTTCTTGTTAAGTTTACTGTGTTTTCTAGGAAGATAATCACATAATCTGAAAACAATGATAAAATCATCACTTTTTAAATATTTACAACTCCTTTTCTTTTTATTTTCTTATTGTATTTGTTAGAACTTGCAGGGAAATATTAATAGTTCTGATAACAATATCCTTTTCTTGAGTTTGACGTTTAATGGCAATGTCTCTCGTGCTTCACTGTTGAGTATAATGCAAATCTCCTCTTGGTTTCTATGATAAATCCTTTGAGGTTAAGAAGAATTTTCCTATTTCTAGTTGATTAAGACATTTCTAAAGACAGCTTTAGACGTCAGTTTCATCAAATGCCACTGGTGTATCTATAGAGATGATCAAATAGTGTTTCTCTGGAAGAATATTAATACAGCAAAGAGCTGAGTCTTGAAAGGTGGGCAGGAATTAAACAGAGGCGGAAGGGCGGGAGGGCACCTGGAGTGAGGGGACGTGCACGGAGGCAATGAGGTACAGCAGACGACAAGTGAGTGGACTTGGAGTTAATGGGGTGAAGTTGGGGAACAAGGGGGACAGGAGGTGAGACTGATGCAAGGAGGGAGCAGAACCTAAAGGGCTCCTGAAATCAAGCAGCTCAGAATTTACTAAGAAGATGAGCATCACGTACTGTCACATCTCTATCAAAGATAAGACAGGAGAAAGGACGAACTCATGTTGAAACAAATTTGAAAGTACACACAACATCAAATGTACGCTCATGTAAACATTTGTAAGAAAGTAACCAAGACCTAATAACACGGCGAACCCATTAACTTTAAAGTTTACGGAAATGTGATTCTGATGTATTTGCGTTTTATTTCTCAAGCATATTTGTACCTGTTCTGTGGTCTTGTTAGAAAAAATAACCGCCGAACCTCCTTCTTCTTCTTTAGGGTAGTTGGGAAACGTGCCAGTCAAGTTCCTGAGGAGGAAAAAGAACGCAAATTAAACAGCAACGAATGCAGGCCTCCGTGCTCCATTCCCCAATCTCGGGCCGAACACGATTCCTCTAGGGAGCAGAAGGATCTGACAACATTAGGAGCAAGTTTCCTTCCTCAAGGTAACTGTTACTCTGACACAGACACACCTCTCTTTAAAACAGTCTGTACTCTTCTTCCTCTTTTTTTTTTCTTAAATTTTTGAGATACTCTGCGCTTGAGTTAAGAATGAAGGCAGAAGCACAAATCATTTCTTCCTGTTTAAAGTTCAGGATAAACACAGGATTTTGAAACTAAACAGAAGGATGGAGCCGTTCGAATTACAAATTTAGTAATAGTGCATGAAATACACACACACGCTTTAGTTTTTAGTAAGTCTAAGGTCCCATATTTTAGGAGTTCCAAATAATTTTTTTTCTGAAAGCATACAACTTCTACATTTTGAAAAGCAAACTTGAAATCGAATGTTTGGGAATTTCAGAAGGGATATGTAGCTAACATTTGTAAAAGAAATTGACTTTGAAAACAAACAGACACATAGATACAGAGAGCAGATTGGTGGTTACCAGAGGGGAAGAGGGTGGGGGGAGGCTGAGAGGGGTAAAGGGGCAAGTATGTACCGTAACGGATGGAAACTAGGCTTTCGGTGGCGAGCATGATGCAGTCTAGAAAGAAGCTAAAACATAATGATGGACACATGAAATTTACACAATATTATAAACCAATGCGACCTCAATTAAAAAAAACTGACTTTGACACAAGTGTTATATTTCTTCCATTTGTTCCACATATAGAAAGAAAAGACTACCAAGTTAGTACCATTAATCCACCAAAGGATAGAATCTAATGGTTAGAGGAGACGACCGTGCTTAAGATGACTCGGCAACTCGTGGTTCTCAAACCTTGGGCCTTCGGAGCCCTTTGCCCTCTTGATAATTTTTGAGCATCCCAAAGAGCTTTTGTTTAAGTGAGTTATAGCTATTGATATGGTATTAGATATTAAAACTGAGCAATTTCTAAAAGATGCATTTTTAACTCATTTAAAAATAACAATAAAGCCCTTACATTTTCACATAAGTAACATTTAAAAAAAATTTAGAGAGAAGTGTGTTCCTGGTCTGCATCTTTGAAGGCTCTTTCAGGTCTGGAAGCTGGAGGCTCATTTCTGCTTCTGTACTCAATCTGGTGCAACATGTTGTCTTGGTTGATGTATAGGGAAAAAAATCTGGCCTCAGGCAGATGTGTAATTGGAAAACGGAGGAATATTTAGTAACCTTTTAGATAACTGTGAAGATTCTGCTTTGACCCTACACCACAACACGCCAAGCAGTAGCTTCCTAAAGGCTGGCAGTGACGGTGAATCTGAAACCATATCAGTGAATTTTCCTTTTCTGCCACATTAAAATCCACTGGTCTGTCTCGCGTGTTCCATAGATGTTTCGCCCGTGCATGATTTTGAAACATCAGGTCTTGGTCATTTGGAAAATAATGGTGCACTGAGTTATGTGAATCTTCCCAATGTTGACACATGTCATCACATCAAAAACTATATCCACTACCAACTCCACCAATCTCATAATCCGAAAGTCTAAGTAATGGGAAGTGCTCAAACTCAAAGAGGTGACTACCAGGTTTCTCAAATTTTAGTTTTCCCTAGAAAGCTTAGGTTTTATCAGCAACAAATACTCCTACTTGTTTTCCTTCATGCTCATTTGGTTCATTTTTGAGAAAATGTCTCCCCCAAACCCAAGTCTGAATAATGAGAGTTTTAGTCATTTTCTCAATTAAAAATGACGTTCTAGGGGCCAGCCCCGTGGCCGAGTGATTAAGTTTGCGTGCTCCACTCCAGCGGCCCAGGGCTTGTCAGTTTGGATCCTGGGCATGGACCCAAACACCACTCATCAAGCCATGCTGTGGCAGCATCCCACATAGAAGAACTGGAATGACCTACAACTGGGATATACAACTATGTACTTGGGCTTTGGGGTGGGGAAAAAAAAAGAGGAAGATTGGCAACAGATGTTAGCTCAGGGCCAATCTTCCTTGCCAAAAAAAGCAATGAGCAACAGTGGAAAAAAAAGAAATACCTAACAGTTCCTTTTAAAAAAAAATGACCTTCTATTAAAAAGTGGCCAGTTCAGCTTGAAACTGGACAACTTCACAGGTTCTGGAGGCCAGAAGTCCAAGATCCTAGTGTCAGCAGGGTTGGTTCCTTTTAAGCGCTGTGAGGGACAATCTCACAGCTCTTGCTCCAGGCAGCCAGCACACTTGGTTGTGCAGCTGAAGGCATTTGTGTGCATTTCTCATTTCCTCACACAGGATATTGAAAAGCTCCCATCTGGGTGCTTCCCTGTGGCTCTGAGACATGCTCAGGGCTCTCTCAATTAGAAAACACTCAGCTTCCTCGAAGTTCCATCCTCCTCCGCCACTCACGGACGTCTCTGCTCTCCTTCACCATCCAACTTTTCAAAAGAGTGCTTCACATTCACTGCCTCCATTAAAAGAGCTCTCACAGGCTGAGTGATGAGTTTGATGTTGCTGACGCCCGGGGACGTTTACCAGTCCGCTCCCTCTTGGTCCCTCAGATGACCAAGTCCTTGGTCCTGAATGGTTCTCTGTCCTTGGCTTCCAGGCTCAGCATCCTTCTGGCTCCCTGCTGTGTCTCTCACCACTCTGTCTCTGAAGGCACCTCCTCCTCTGCCTTACATAGAAGGAGCTCCCCTTATGTGACCTATAAGCAGTATTTGAGCTCTCCATCATCTCTTCTCCCTAAAATGATTTGTTTGTGGGATCCCCTCCTCTCCCCCAGTGACCACTTGCTCAACCTTGTCTGCTGGAACCTCCTTGTGTCCCCCACCTGTAATAGCTGGGGGACCCAGGGCTTGGTCCTCAGGCTCTTCTCTTCTCTGCTCACTACCTTATGACCTCATCCAGCTTCCTAGCTTTAAATACCACCGGCATTCTTCATCTCTCCAACGCTGTGTCTCCTGTCGTCATCTCTCCTGAGTTGCAGACTCATACATTCAACTGCCGGCCCAACACCTCCCTTCAGAAGCACAGTAATCATCTCAACCTTACGTGTCCCAAACTCAACTCTTGTTCTCACCTCCTCCCCTAAACTTCCCCCTCCCCTTGCATTTCTCCATTTCAGAAAATGGAAACTCTTCCTCCAGTTGCTCCAAGGGCAAAAACCTAGAATCATCCGGACTCCTCTTTCTTTCACACTTATGTTCAATCCATCAGCAGCCCTGTTGGTTCTACCTTCCAACTATATCTAGAATCGGACCACTTCTCATTGCGTCCACTGGCCTGAGCCACCACCATCTTGAACTTACGTTACTGTGATTAACTGGTCTCCTTGCTGCCCCCCTGCTCCCCTTGGGTCTACGCTCTATGTGGCAGCCAGAACGATCCTTTTAAAATGTAAGTCACATCAAGCCACTTCTCCACTCAAGGTTCTCCAATGCCCTCACTCAAAATGAAACCAAAGCCCGTATAATCAGGTTAACCTATGCCCCCATGTACTCGGGACAGGCCCCGTTTATGTGCGATTAATTATAGCACCCCCTTTCATTCTTAAGAGTGTCCTGGTTTGGGCATTGAATTAGATGGTTCCTCCAGCTGAAATATCTCCTTCTGCCTCCCCAGCTCACCCCCTACCTCCTTCCTCTTGGCTCCTCAATCTCCCTTGATGCTCCCTCCTCAGAGAGACGCTCACTCTCAGACATAAAGTAATACACCAAGTGGTGCACTCCTTCACTTGCCTTAAGGTTTTGCTCAAATGTCATCATGTCAGGAAGAGAGGTCTTCCTTGATTGTCTTATAAAAAATAAGTTTTTTGACCAAATAATAGGTTCCCTCTTATCCCACAGCCAAGGTCTTGCTGAGATCTGTATATTTGGGATAGAGAAGAGGGGGGATGCTAAGTTTATTTTTGGATGATTATCTCCATTTCTCTTTCCATTTTGGAAAATACTTTCACAGATAGAGGGGTCTTTTCTACTTCAAACAAATTTTAACACAAAATCTCTGCAAAATGATTAAGGGTTAAATATGCTGCCTTTGTGCACGATAATGATTTAAATCTTAGCTTCCCCTCGATTATACTTTGCATCTGAATTCCAAAGACATTGGATAATCTCTGAACTTTCATCATTTTGCTGATTTACAAAGTTAACATGCAGTGTGTGCCAGAAGATCATTCCCGAATACACCCCTCCCCCAACTTCCATTTGCCCTCAAATTGGGGCAACAGCCAGGCCAGTGCAGTTTCCTCAATTGGACACACAAACCAGCCAATGGGACAAGTGATGCAGGAAATATAGACACACGAAAAATAACCTTAACTATGCATGTGAGGACCCTCTCACGTCCCCCAGACCTACAGAACAAAACAGAAAAGAGGAACAAGAAAGCTCAGAACCACCCAAGAACAGAAAATTTGAGAAATGGATGTGGAACTTGAGAAGACTATGGATTTATCAGATAGTCTGAGCTCTGAGTCAGCATCTATTCACCTGTAAGCAAATGCTGGCACACCTCAGGTGGATTACATTTTTTTAAAGCAAGAATTCAGCTTTTTGGAACAAAATTTAATTCGTATTGTTAAGTATAATTTCCAAAAGATAGACTTTATTCATTAAATCCACTCTCTAAAAGGTATCAAGAAAGATTTGAAGAGGAACACTGTGCAATACATTATCTATCCAACTTTTGAGATCATTTGATATTTTTCAAAAACAAATGACACTTTCCCATCACTAAATTTGGATCATCCTGGACTATCACAAAAGGAAGAAGCTGAGGAGGCACCAGGCTTGACCTTCTAAGTGGTGGCGAGTTCCAGTTGTTCCAGGACAGCACGGGCTCTGCTATTCCACATTTCTCCCAGCTCCTGTCAATCCTAGTTCCTGACTCAGAAAGCAGCCGCTCGCATTGCACTGCTGAAGTTGTTCAGGATAACAGCCGTCAAGCCCTGGGCTCC